CAGCTGCGCTTATTTTTAGTGAAAAAAAATCGTGACATAACTGTGCTGCTGTTTGGTGATGATTATAATTGGAATCGAAATTTGACGAAACAATTTTCGAATTCAACTTTAGACGTTCATGTTGCTCAGCCATTAGTGAACATTACACCAATTGTCGATATTGCCTTCTGCAGTTCGTACTGTGATGCTGTTCTGATAACGGGTAATTTCTTTTCATTGAACATGTGCTTCAATTTCTCAAATTTCACAATATACCATTCCCACTCTCTTAAGAAGCACATTATGCTAACAAAGGTAGCCCTGAGCGGGCATTTGCTCATTGCTGAGCTATAAATAGCCATGAGATGGAACTGAGTGGCTCGTGTACTAACGCAGCTCTTTAGCATTAGGAAGAACTATTTGATCCATTTGTGTGATCAATGGATGATTGCAATATGTGAAGGGTTAAAGTGATTATGTTCAATCTGTTTCTAGCCACAGACTGTGACAATTGTGCGATTCTGAGAAATAGTTTGAGTCATTTTCACGGTGTTTCGTTGTGATAATATGTTGTTTCAAGCATCCGCATCAACATTTGGATGGTGGATGGCCTACTTGACTCGACCGAATACGTCAATTTATTACAATTCGGTTTTCTCGAAGACGAACGGTATCGAACGAGAGCTTAATCCTCGAGACTTTTTCCCGCCGCACTGGAAGTCCTTGAACATGACGGAATCACCGAATGGAACCGTTTTTATAAATATTCAGTGAATAAAACATCTGAATGATGAACATACTTTCACATGTACATGTTTTTGTGCGGGGAGTTCGAAACATCCTTTCGGAGAACCTGATCGTGAGCAATGTTGTTTAGGTTCGATCGAAACTGACAATGAGTATGTACGGAGTTTGTGAAGTTTGCTTGAATTTGAATAATTGCCGAATAAATTTGAAATGAACGAATGAAAAGCCCAGGACAGGCAGCAGGTTGGTGAATAAAAAACAAAATTTCCGACCGAATGACTGTAAAGGAGTTAGACCCAGATTTTCGACTACCACAGAGATTAGGCTTTAACGAAACGACCAGAAATGCGGGCCGTGATGACTAACCAGTTCAGAGGGTTGTTTCGAAATGAATCTTCCACCCAATGTAGTATGATTTATGTGGGCGTTCATTCATGAACAAATGACGTCAGTGAACTTGATTTGGAAGTATTCATAGTCGAAATAATATTCAAATAATGGTCATGAGTGTGAACAGTAAGTAATTTGACAAAAATCTGGTAATGATTACAAACAGCGATGAAAACAATAACGAACACAACGAGTGATAACAACATGAACAGTGCGCAAAGCAGTGATAACAATAAGAACAATTCAACAAAACTGCAACACAGATATGGATGATCACAGACTGTTCAGAAGTGAAATACCCATCAAATAATGACCAGAACAAAAATGAAAAGTAACGCAGATTACTCAAAACAATGCACTGATTTGCAGCCGAATTGGGGTAGATTAGTGACAAGAATAAGCTGAATAATCTTTGTACATCGGCCGATTAGCAGCAATTCAGCAGTCATGAAAATCACAGCAATAATATGATAGACATTCACAGAATGTGCAAAGACGATACTCGTTCGCGTAACGTGCTTAGATTTTAAGGTTAGTGCCAAACCTGACAAGATGAAAATTACAAGAAATGTAAGGCAATATCAGAAGAAAGCGCAAAGTATTCAGCAGAACTCTTTTAAATGAATCTGGCAATACTGATACTTTGTAGATCATAAACTGATATGCATGTTGAGCGATGATATTGAGCGTGTTAGTGATAAGCTACTATTGACATGAAATTGTTTATATGATCAACTTCGCATTTTAAAATTCGTTCATTTTTGGAAAATTTCTTGTTTGTGCAATAGTCTTGAAGAATTTCGTCGAAGTTACACGGTTCTAGAGTGAATTCTCAAATGCCAATAGAATGGATCCATGACATGTGTCAATCTGTCAAGGAATGTGGAACTGTTAAACCATCGGGAGTAAAAGCACTGAAGATGGTTAATGATTAGGAAGCTAGTAT